CACTTTTTCTATGATAGAAGGACTATGATTTTATGAAAAAGTTTATGAACTTTCAAAGGCAATGTGGATATCAAGAATAGTGTTCAAAACAAAACTGACATAGTAAAATAACTGTCAAAAATTGTATTTCTGCTTACTGGAAAGGAATCTACATTGATTTGACACCCTTTTATGCGTGTGGTAACTACGCACACAAGAAACCCAAAACTGGGCTTTTCATTATTCATAAATGTTCTGATGAAATACACTTCTAATACTTGGAAATACAATCACTGTTCAAAATAAATAAATATCACATGGTACAATATTGCAGGCGATTACAAGTAAAGAACATATGTATAGGGACCTTGCCAGCACCATGGCATATATAATATCCCATAATTTCATGAGGGATGCCTGCATGAAACATACTAATATTCCACACCTTTATCTCATTCATGTCTTCACCAATCCTGTTCAAACTTCACACATACATCATACAGCTTTATTTACATAATCATTTGGGGCAGGACTAATTACGAAATCTAATTTGGTGTTAAGAATGCATCCAAATTATTGTTTATGCCATTATGAAACTAGTCCTTAGTTGCAGTCGTACATAGACAAATTTTGTTAAAACTTGGTACACACATTTAAACAACGCAATTTTTTTTCTTTGCATTGCTAAAGTGAGTACAAATGTCCTGAAACAATGCAGTAATATATCTAAACATTCTGCAGAAACATACTGGCTAAAATTTAGATGGGAACAATTATGACCAAAATGGACAAGAACAAGTCATCACAATTGCATAAAAAAATAATTTCAATGTTCCTCAAATAATATTACATATACTATATTAATCTCAATGTACCTTGTAGAATGATACAACATGAATTGTAAAAATGTTCTGAAATAATAGTGCAGTAATGTATAATCAAAATAAAACACTAATGAGATACGAAAAAGGCAGGAAAACTACACTTTATCCTCATAATGAAAATATTAGTTAACTACACTCGTCTGATTTACATATTCTGGTGAGCATAATACTAACATCTAGTTCCTATTATCAGTAGTATAATTGTCTTCATTCTCATTTCTAAATCTAACAAACGTCAAATTTCACCCCATATATTGAAATTGAACTTGACATTTATAATGGCAACTGATAAAATTCCCAAATTTGAAGATTGTTATTGTAACAAAAAGAAAATGTTGAGTGAAATTAAACCAATATACTGAAAAACTTAGCCAGGATTTCAGACTTATTCATATAATATTCAAGTTTGAAAGAAATTGGATAAAATTGTTCGAGTTATTGTATCCACAAGAAAAATGACAACAATCAGGATAGACATTTCCCGCTCACATTTCTTGCCCTTCATCTACAATGATACGAACAAAGTTCTCCTACCCTAAATATTACACAACAGAATATAATCTGGTCAGAATAAAACAAATATGATTTAAGAAGGGAGTTTCTGGCAGTGTTCTTCACAACACCACCATATTTTATCACCACACGGGACAGGATATAGCTTTCCAAATCTGTTATTTTCATCAACCATATTAAGAAAATGTGAAAATTCTTGTCGCTTGTATTGGGACATGTCAGACTTTAAGTCAATAACTTGAGTTGGTTCTTGTTCTTTCATGGCATCAGCTAGGTCGGGACAGGTTTCTTTGAAATCTTTCAAAAATGCTTTCAAAAGTTTTGATGATTCGTCAGCTGTAATTGCAACTGCTCCCACCACTGGTTTAGCTTCCATTGGCACCAATGGAGTTGCCAACGGTAACAACTTTGCAATTAATTGTAGCACTCTCACTATGTGTTTCCCATATTTTTTGATGAATGGTTTTACATTATGAATCCTATAGCCTGGTGACCTTAAGAAATGAGGCTTACCGTAATTCTCGCAAAGTAAATGGACTGCATAGCCATCACGAAGATACGAATAAATTTGGAATTTGAACCGGCCCCACACAGACTGATTTCCTGAATTAATTGGTAAAACAGCAAACATGCTTGGACATTCTGCGTCTTTCAATGCCTTTGCACAAAGTAAACCAGAATTTGCAACTTGAGGTTGGTTAACTCCAACACAACACAATAAATTATCGTGAGACGTAAACATGTGAGCTGGACTTGACTTACACGTGTAACTTCCATCAGATTCCATCATCATATAACCTGGGTCATACTTACTATCTACGAGACAAAATGAGCAGGTCAGTAAACACTTTGAATTCAAAGCTTGGTACATTTGAATCC